TACATGGCTATTCATTGTACCTAATAATATGTTTAGGTGGCATAAATAGCACTTTTTTGTTAAAACCCAGATCGCTGGATACCCATCTTTAGTGTGTATGTTGTATAACAGAAAATAATACAATAAGTGATTTTTCATACAAATTTTCAAACGACAATTAAGGCAGTACATTTTATTTAATGGAAATGTTAATAAAAAAAACAATCTATATTTTGCTCTGAAATTATAATTTTTATTACAGCACGATAAGACTACACTAATATCCAAATATACAATTTTTATTACAAAGAGTGTTCACTTAAGAATACATTATTGCCAAAAAATACAATTTTTATTACACAAAGTATTCACCAAGACTACACCAATACAGTGCGGTTACAGTAATGTCGCACATTATAGAACTCTAAAACAGCGAATAGATTTATTAACCATACTTGACCCACTATCAGGGGCTAGCTCACAAGATACAGTCGGTTCATCTTTAAGGGCGGTCAACACAAACTTGTTAGCACCTGCTCCCCACGGCACATCAAACGTCAACTTGTAATCATTCTCCGTCTCGCCTTGCTTCCTCAGGAATAAATAACCAGTGACACCCGACGGCGAATGTTCACGGCCGCACGCTCGAACGGTCAGCGGATTATCTTTTGAGATTTTCGAACCATTTGGAGACGTTAACTCATTACATTTACCATCGGTCCATTTTCCAAAGCTTAAAAACGAGTCACGTACTTCCAAATGACTGTCGGCGTAGTTGTACTTAATCGTAAATGCCGCTTTTTGGGCTTCTGCATACATTATAACATTATTTGGATCGGAATTAGAAATTACATTCGGATTGTCGCCGGATTGCGTATTTACGCTCAAGGTTATGATTGCGGACCGAACGCTTGATACAGCGAGAAACACAAAAATTAATCGGTACATGATTGCGAAATTGCGTTATAAAATGTAAAAGCAACGAGTCAGTACTGTGTGTAATTTGTAGTTGTACTGAATGTTTGACTACTGGATTGACCGTATATATACCAAGGAATTGCCAGTTTCGCAATAATCGATTTTACATTTTGTACAATAATTCTGAACTTCAGACACAAGAGGGCAAAAAGTAAAAAGAATGATAGTATGTGTGACCTACTTATTGTGATTTTTATTTTGAAAAATGAAGAAAATTCTCAACCAGATTGACCTAGATTGACTCACCGAATTCATGTTAATATAAACGATAAATGTACAAATTCTGTTAGCCGTCGTGTACAAAAAGTGTGTAGCTCTAGCTACTGAATTTACGTTATTTTTAGTAAAACGTAAAAATTAGATCGGCCATAGTTGTACATCATTACTATTAGGATATTAATAATATTAAAAAAATTATAGCAACTTCATTGCATTAATATTCAGCTTATTATTGTATAAATAAAAAATTACCTTTTTTTATATCATTATGAGCACGATTAATAATTATACTTAATTATTTTGTGTTCTAGTTATAGTTAAGGTATAATTTTCTAATCAAAAATTGTCTTTGTGACCATAATACGGCTATCATTATTCTTCAAATAGTTTCTACTGATATTACAAAAAAGTATCAATTTTGCCTGATTTTTCAACATTGAAACTAAATTGGCAGAAAAAAAAAATGTTTGACTAATTAACTTTTTTTTTTTTTTATATAAGAACATTTGGAAAGTGATTCGACCGTCGTATGCATAATATGTATAAATCGACTTACCAAATGCATGGTATTATAGCGATAAATATATAAAGTCGGTCAGCCGTCGTACACAAAAAGTGTGTAGCTCTACTAAATTTACGGTATTCTTTGCGAAATCGTATAAATTAGATTGGCAGTGGTATACAAATGTGTGCAGTTCAGCCTACCGAATTCTTCAGCGTGTGTAGATTGAATCACTAAATTCATGTATTATAGCATTATTTTCACATTAAAAAATGAAGGAAATTCTCGACCGTCTTATGTATAAATTATGTAGATCGACTCACTGAATTCATGTTATTTTAGCGATAAACGTACAAATTCCGTCAGCCGTAGTACACAAAAAGTGTGTAGCTCTAACTACTGAATTTATGTTATTCTTTGCGAAAACGTAGAAATTAGACTGGCCGTGGTACACAAAGTGTGCCGTTTGAACATTGGATGTTTTCTACTTAATAGCAAAAACAGAAATTCTAATAAATAATATAGATAATACTACTAATTTATATATCATTTCAAAATAAAAAAATTAACTTTGTTCATATATTATTGTAAGCACAATTAGTTAATATGCTTAATTATTTTGTTATATCATTGAGTTAATGGTTATAGTTAGAGTATAGTTTTCTAATCAAACAGTGTCTTGTGTCCATAATTGGCTATATTATTCTTCAAATAGTTTCTACTGTATTAAATAAAAGTATTCATTTTGCCTGATTTTTTAACATTGAAACTCAAGTGGGAGAAAAAAATTTAACTATCAACTTGCTGTTATCTTTACATAAGAAAATGTAGAAAATGATTGAGAACCGTTGTTCATAACTTTATGGATCGACTTACTAAATTTATGGTATTATAGCGATAAATATATAAAGTCAGCCGCCGTACACAAAAAGTGTGTAGCTCTATGTACCGAATTGACGGTTATGGTAGCGAAATCGTATAAATTAGATTGGCAGTGGTATCCAAATGTGTGCAGTTCAGCCTACCGAATTTTTCAGTGTGTGTAGCAAGTGTGTAGATCGAATCACTGAATTCATGTATTTTAGCGATAAACGTACAAATTCAGTCAGCCGCTGTACACAATAAGTGTGTAGCTCTAGCTATCGAATTTATATGGACATAAAATCTTTTATCTTTTTATCTTTTAGTACAAGTAATGAAGTTGTGGTTTTACAATCGGCTAACATCGTTTAAGCATCGATGCAGGCGGCGAAGGTATTGGTTTTACTCTGGTGTGGGCTTTTTTTTAACTGTATACACTGTAACTTTTTAATTACTGGACCAATTCTTTCGAGTAGCAACTTTTCAAATCACAAATTTCACATAGTTGGTACCTTAGGGGGGTAATAGTTGAAAAGGTATACTATTCTTTACAGTCAAAATTTGAAAAACACTATACCAGTTTTTAAATAAGAATTTTACTGGCTATAATTTCGAGAAAATGTGTTCCATCTAGTTGAAATTTATCAGAAATATTATTTCGTTTGCCCTCACACGTCAGTTGTATCAAATTTAAATTATACCAATATACCACCCCCTCCCCTCTAGTGGGGTACAAGTTTTTATTTTTTATTTTTTATTTTTTAGCCGTAATTTTAAGACCTTTAAAAAAAAATTGTCAGGAGTTAGATGTCATATGTATCCATAACATATTAAACGGGGAAAAATTCGGTACCACAGCTTTTTTTAATTGCCGGAAAACTGTGTTTTGGCAGATTGCGTATATTTTAACAAAGACACCTAAAATCTTAAAAAAAATGTTATCAAGTTATTAAAACATTTTTTTGTAGATCTAAGCAGAATGATACTATAAAGTTTTGATACTCAAGTACCATTTTTGGGTTTTAATTTAAGTTTTTTTTGGCCGATTAAAATTGAGAACTGATATTAAATTCGTAATCACCGTTTTCAGTGATTTTATCCGAGATGACTAGTACAGTAGAGTTTAGGCATTATGGAATCAAAGCAACAAGGGGACAGAGAGGTCACAGGTCTATAGGAATTATTGTAAATAAAAATGACAAAATTGAAAAAAAACGCTATTTAATTCACGTAAAATTCTTTAAAATATTTTTATTAAAATATAAAGCCGTGTATCTAAGTAAAATGTTATGATAAAACATTTTTTTAAAACATGCTTAGTTTTAAATATAAATTGCTACAAATCCGAAATCATGTTTTTTTTTTAAATTTCATCAAAAATATTTTAATGAGGTACACAGCTTTTTATTGTTTAAGTGACATAAATAGCATATTTTTTGTAAAAATCCGGATTACTGCATACCCATTTTTACTGAGTAGGTATGTTGTATAACAGAAAATAATACAATAACCTATTATTTTTCAAACAAATTCCCAAATGAAAATTTTAGGCAGTTAAATCAATTTTGTAGTACATTTGTTTAGTTAACATATTACACTTTTTACGAGACAACCAAAATTCAAAACTATTTGTTGTAGTATTGCACTAATTTAAACTTTTTAAATAGTTATAACTTTTGAACCGTGGAGAACAATTACTTATTTTTAACATTCGTATTTTTAAAATACTAAATGTTAACAGAATATATCCAGTTTAACATTTCCAATATAACTAATTTGCATATAAAAAAAGGTATTTTGAGTATAAAATGTATAACAAAAAAACCAATTTTGCTCTCAAATTATAATTTTTATTACAATACTACGATTGGATTACACTATCAACTAAATATACAATTATTATTACACAAAGTATTCACTAAGGCTACACTAATACAATGCGATTACGGTAATGTTGCGCATTATATAACTTGTTTACAGCGAACAGTTTCTTTAATCGACCTGACCCCTGTTGCAGAGGGTATCACACAAGATACAACCTGATCGTCTTTAACGGATTCCACAAGAAACGTGTCTGAACCAATCCACGGCACGATAAACTTCACCTTGTAATCATTTTCCGTCTCGCCTTGCTTCCTCAGGTATATATAACCATCCACACCAGTCGGTGAATTAGCACGGCCGCACGCCCGAATGGTCAGCGGATTATCTTTTGAGATTTTCAATCCATTTGGAGATGTTATCTCATTACAATCTCTATCGGCCCATTTTCCATAGTCTAATATTGAGTCTTTTACTTCCAAATAACTGTCGTTGTAGTTGTACTGTACCGTAAATGTCACTTTTTGTTTTTCTGCATCCAATATATTATTGTTTGCATTAGAATTTAAACTTACAGCCCGAGTGTCGCCGGATTGCGTATCCACGTTCACGGTTATGATTGCGGACCGAACGCTGGTTACAGCGAGAAACACAAAAATTAATCGGTACATGATTGCGAAATTGCGTTAAAAAATGTACAAGCAACGAATTAGCACTGTTTGTAATTTGTAGTTATACTGAATGATTGACTACTGAATCGACCTTATATATACCAAGGAATTACTTAACCGTCGTATGCATAATGTGTGTAGATCGACTCACCGAATTCATGTTAATATAGCGATAAACGTACAAATTCGGTCAGCCGTCGTGTACAAAAAGTGTGTAGCTCTATCTACCGAATTTATGGTTATCGTATCGAAATCGTATAAATTAGATTGGCAGTGGTATACAAATGTGTGTACTAATTTATATATCATTTCAAAATAAAAAATTAACTTTTTTCATATATTATTATAAGCACAATTAGTTAATATGCTTAATTATTTTGTTATATCATTGAGTTTAATGGTTATAGTTAGAGTATAGTTTTCTAATCAAACAGTGTCTTGTGTCCATAATTGGCTATTATTATTCTTCAAATAGTTTCTATTGTTATTAAATAAAAAGTATTCATTTTGCCTGATTTTTTAACATTGAAACTCAAGTGGGAGAAAAAAACAAATTTAACTAATCAACTTGCTGTTATCTTTACATAAGAAAATGTAGAAAATGATTGAGAACCGTTGTTTGCATAACCTTTATGGATCGACTTACCAAATTTATGGTGTTATAGCGATAAATATATAAAGTCAGCCACCGTACACAAAAAGTGTGTAGTTCTATGTACCGAATTGACGGTTATGGTAGCGAAATCGTATAAATTACATTGGCAGTGGTATACAAATGTGTGCAGTTCAGCCTACCGAATTTTTCAGTGTGTGTAGCAAGTGTGTAGATCGAATCACTGAATTCATGTATTATAGCGATAAACGTACAAATTCAGTTAGCCGTTGTGTACAAAAAGTGAGTAGCTCTAGCTACCGAATTTACGTTATTCTTAGCGAAAACGTAGAAATTAGATCGGCAGTGGTATACAAAAGTGTGCCGTTTGAACATTGGATGTTTTCTACTTAATAGCAAAAACAGAAATTATAATAAATAATATAGATAATACTACTAATTTATATATCATTTCAAAATAAAAAAATTAACTTTTTTCATATATTATTATAAGCACAATTAGTTAATATGCTTAATTATTTTGTTATATCATTGAGTTTAATGGTTATAGTTAGAGTATAGTTTTCTAATCAAACAGTGTCTTGTGTCCATAATTGGCTATTATTATTCTTCAAATAGTTTCTACTGTTATTAAATAAAAAGTATTCATTTTGCCTGATTTTTTAACATTGAAACTCAAGTGGGAGAAAAAAACAAATTTAACTAATCAACTTGCTGTTATCTTTACATAAGAAAATGTAGAAAATGATTGAGAACCGTTGTATGCAAAACTTTTATGGATCGACTTACTAAATTTATGGTGTTATAGCGATAAATATATAAAGTCAGCCACCGTACACAAAAAGTGTGTAGCTCTATGTACCGAATTGACGGTTATGGTAGCGAAATCGTATAAATTAGATTGGCAGTGGTATACAAATGTGTGCAGTTCAGCCTACCGAATTTTTCAGTGTGTGTAGCAAGTGTGTAGATCGAATCACTGAATTCATGTATTTTAGCGATAAACGTACAAATTCAGTCAGCCGCCGTACACAATAAGTGTGTAGCTCTAGCTATCGAATTTACGTTGTTTTAAGCGAATAGAGGTTGTTGTGTAATACAAAAGTGTGCAGTTTGACCTTTGGAGTTTTTTTAACATTGAGGCAAAAACAGAAGTTATATAGACATAAAATGTTTTATCTTTTTATCTTTTAATACAAGTAATGAAGTTGTGTTATTACAATCGGCTAACATCGTTTTAACTTTGATGCAAGGCGTCGTATGCAAGTATTGAAATTTATCAGAAATATTATTTCGTTTGCCCTCACACGTCAGTTGTATCAAATTTAAATTATACCAAATTCCCATCCCCCTAGGGGTACAAGGTTTTTTTTGTTTTTTTAATTTTTTAACCGTAATTTTAAGACTTTTAAATGGAAAATGTGTCAGTAGTCAGAACTCATATGTATCCATAACATATTAAACGGAAAAGAAAATTCGGTACCACAGCTTTTTTTTAATTGCTGGAATACTGTGTTTTCGCAAATTGCGTATATCTTAACAAAAACACCTAAAATCTTTAAAAAAATGTTATTAAGTTATTAAAACAATTTTTTTGTAGATCTATGTAGAATGATCCTATTAAGTTTTGATACTAAAGTACCATTTTAGGGTTTTAATTTAATTTTTTTTTTTTTATTTAAGTTTTTTTTTGGCTGATTAAAATTGAGAACTGATATTATGTTCGTAATCACCGTTTTCGATGATTTTATCCGAGGTGACTAGTACAGTAGAGTATAGGCATTATATAATCAAAGCAACGAGGTGATGTGAATATATCCAGTTTAACATTTCCAATATAACTAATTTGCATATAAGAAAAGGTATTTTGAGTATAAAATGTATAAAAAAAAAATAACAATTTTGTTCTGAAATTATAATTTGTATTACAATACGATAAGACTACACTAATAACAATATATTTAATTTTTATTACAAAACGTGTTCACTATTGCCAAAAAATACAATTTTGATTACACAAATTTTTCACTAAGGCTACACTAATACAATGCGATTACGGTAATGTTGCACATTATATAACTTGTTTACAGCGAACAGAACTTTGAATCGACCTGACCCCTCTTTTAGGTATCACACAAGATACAACCTGATCGTCTTTAACAGATTCCACAAGAAACGTGTCTGAACCAATCCACGGCACGATGAACTTCACCTTGTAATCATTTTCCGTCTCGCCTTGCTTCCTCAGAAATATGTAACCATCCACACCCGTCGGTGAATTAGCACGGCCGCACGCTCGAATGGTCAGCGGATTATCTTTTGAGATTTTCAATCCATTTGGATCCGTGATCTCATTACAACCGCTATCGGTCCATTTTCCATAGTCTAACATTGAGTCTTTTACTTCCAAATAACTGTCGTCGTAGTTGTACTGTATCGTAAATGTCACTTTTTGGTTTTCTGCATCCAATATATCATTATGTCGATCAGAATTTAAACTTACAGCCCGAGTGTCGCCGGATTGCGTATCGTTCACGGTTATGATTGCGGACCGAACGCTGGTTACAGCGAGAAACATAAAAATTAATCGGTACATGATTGCAAAATTGCGTTATAAAATGTAAAAGCAACGAGTCAACACTGTTTGTAATTTGTAGTATTACTGAATGTTTGATTACTGAATCGACTGTATATGTACCAAGGAATTGCCAGTTTCGCAATAATCGATTTTACATTTTGTACAATAATTCTGAACTTTAGACACAAGAGGGCAAAAAGTAAAAAGAATGATAGTATGTGTGACCTTCTTATTGTGATTTCTATTTTGAAAAATGAAGAAAATTCTCAACCATCGTATGCGTAAACTGTGTAGATTGACTCACCGAATTCGTGTTAATATAAACGATAAAAGTTCAAATTGGTCAGCTGTCATGTACAAAAAGTGTGTAGCTCTAGCTACCGAATATACGTTATTTTAGTGAAACGTAAAAACTAGATCGGCCATAGTTGTACATCATTACTATTAGGATATTTATAATAATAAAAAAATTATAACAACTACATTGCATTAATATTCAGCATATTATTGTATAAATAAAAAATTACCTTTTTGTTATATCATTATATGCACGATTGATTATTATACTTATGATTTTGTGTATTAGTTATAGTTAGGGTTTAGTTTTCTAATCAAACAGTGTCTTTGTGTCCATAATTAGCTATTATTATTCTTCAAATAGTTTCTACTGATATTACAAAAAAGTATTCATTTTGCCTGATTTCTTAACATTGAAACTCAAGTAGGAGAAAAAACAAGTTTAACTTATCAACTTTTTGTTTTTTTTGTATTAGAAAATGTAGAAATAGGCCTACAGTCTACTGTCGTATGCATAATGTGAGGTTGGGGGTTGGGATAAGGGTAATTGGAATTATTTTACTCAGTCCTGGCAGACTAAATCTTGGGCAACGCCGGGTACAAGAGTGTGCCGTTTGAACAAAAAAAAAAGTTATATTAAATAATAATGAAAATATTTATAATATATTATATGTAAATTATTATATATATTATTAATATTGTTAATATTGTAAAATAAAAAATGAAACATTTTACATAAAAAAAATACAAACATTTCTCGACCGTCGTATGCAAATTAAAATGCTTAATTATTTTTAGAAATTACAATGTTAAAACAGAGTCTTTGTGTACGCATGATTTTTTGTAAATGTATAAATGTTATCTTATTTAAAAAAAATTAAAAGTCAACTGGCAAAAAAATAAAGAAATCGAGTGAACGCAAGTAGTATTTACTTTATCCTAAAGAAAAATCGTCGATATTGGATGTACAAAATGTTTGTCGTATTCACACTTTGGTACACTAACCGTTATACACACACCCTGTAAATAAATTTACTTAAATACCTTTTACCTAAACACTAAGGTGCCTTTTAGTAAGTGCGAATAAATGTGGCAGACCTTCCGGATTGTTTCTGCCTCGGGTGATTTTCCGTCCAACGATCAATATTTTGAATTTATTATTTAGTTCTAATTTGAACGTTGAACGTACAACATATCTCTTATCTCTTATCTCCTATATTTTTCCCTATCTTCTACCCACTATATCCCATCCCCTATCTCCTACCCCCATCTCATACCCCTATTTTCAACCTACTATCACTCACCCCTATCCCTACCCATATCTCTCACCCCTTTCCACTCATCCTATCTCCCACCCCTATCTTGTAACGCTTTTTTTCGTTATACATTTTTCGGTTAAGTGCCAGAGCTAATGAAAATTTTAGGCAGTTAAATCAATTTTGTAGTACATTTGTTTAGTTAACATATTACACTTTTTACGAGACAACCAAAATTCAAAACTATTTGTTGTAGTATTGCACTAATTTGAACTTTTTAAATAGTTATAACTTTTGAACCGTGGAGAATAATTACTTATTTTTAACATTTGTATTTTTAAAATACTAAATGTTAACAGAATATATCCAGTTTAACATTTCCAATATAACTAATTTGCATATAAGAAAAGGTATTTTGAGTATAAAATGTATAACAAAAAAACCATTTTTGCTCTCAAATTATAATTTTTATTACAATACTACGATTGGATTACACTATTAACTAAATATACAATTATTATTACACAAAGTATTCACTAAGGCTACACTAATACAATGCGATTACGGTAATGTTGCGCATTATATAACTTGTTTACAGCGAACAGTTTCTTTAAGCGACCTGACCCCTGTTGCAGAGGGTATCACACAAGATACAACCTGATCGTCTTTAACGGATTCCACAAGAAACGTGTCTGAACCAATCCACGGCACGATAAACTTCACCTTGTAATCATTTTCCGTCTCGCCTTGCTTCCTCAGGTATATATAACCATCCACGCCAGTCGGTGAATTAGCACGGCCGCACGCCCGAATGGTCAGCGGATTATCATTTGAGATTTTCAATCCATTTGGAGATGTTATCTCATTACAATCTCCATCGGCCCATTTTCCATAGTTTAAAAATGAGTCACGTACTTCCAAATAACTGTCGTTGTAGTTGTACTGTACCGTAAATGTCACTTTTTGTTTTTCTGCACGCATTGTATCATTATTTGGATCAGAATTAAAACTTACAGCCCGAGTGTCGCCGGATTGCGTATCCACGTTCACGTTCACGGTTATGATTGCGGACCGAACGCTGGTTACAGCGAGAAACACAAAAATTAATCGGTACATGATTGCAAAATTGCGTTATAAAATGTACAAGCAACGAGTCAGTATTGTTTGTAATTTGTAGTTGTACTGAATGTATGACTACTGAACCCACGGTATATATACCACGGAATTGCCTGTTTGGCAGTAATCGATTTTAAACTGGACCAAGTATTATAAACAACTAAATATTCCGACCTTCGAACACAAAAGGGCAAATAGTACAACGTGTGATAGATAATATGTTAAGTTTATTGCTACCCTGGTCAAATTATCGTCTCTAACGCAGGGTTATCAACTCGACAGCTCAGATTTGGTGCTTTACAATCAAACGAACCAAATGATTGCCTATATGATTCAACATGACGTTGTTAACACGCCCTTGATAGCAAGACATTTCTGAGCGATAAACATATAGATGTAATTGGCGGTTTTTTAAGAATAATTGTAGGTCTAGCTCTAGCTACCGAATTTACGTTATTTTTAACGATACCATTGAAACTTGCTGGATTGGTCATTGTTGCATTTAAAATTAAGAATATCAGACTATTTATTTTAACATAGTTTGACTCCATAACTATTAAGATACATGTATTACTATACTATGCGTATATATTTTATTTTCAAGAACTATTTAATGTTTTTTTTATAAAAACTATACATAAAACTTTTATAAATATGTAACTCAACCTGTTATCTTTACTTTACTTTAATCAAAAACCGTCGATATTCAATATATAAAATGTCACCGAAAAGTGATGAAAAAAAAAATGGTGAACTTTTTTTATACTTTTATGGGATTTTCAAAAAAAAGTTATATGCTTAATTATTTTTTAAACGTCGAAATGTCTAGTTTAAATAAAAAAACATTTATTCACAGTCTCATGTTCATCATTGGCAAAATATTTTACAGCGTGTTGCTCTGGTATACTTTCAAGTAATGTCGGTATAACATCAAGTTGAAGACGGTTATCTTGTTATTTTTTAAACATACACAATCGAAATATTGTACTCAAAATTGACACATCAATAGTTTTCAGATGAGGCAATCCATTGTGCAACTAAACCTGCACATTTTTATATAATTTCAAATAATTAAATTCATATATTTAGTAATCATCTATTTTATTAACGCTGAATAAGTTAAAAAATAATAATCTATTTTACTTAATGACTATATCTATTTTAATAATTAATTTTTTTTTCTCCACTTTTATAACTCATATACGATTTATTTTTGTACAAAAACGTATGTTTCTACTTCAAATTATTTATTATAACACAGACATAATAGCTGGTAGGCAGCCGGATAGGTCATAGATTCCAAGTGGGATGTGGGGTTCACTGTCTAGCTATCTGTCAGATCAGAAACGACGTACTAAAAAAGTGAGTGTACGGTACTTCTTGCTTAAAGATTAAAGTACAATTTTTTAAATTTTAAACTGAAAAGAATAGTCTAGAAGTTAGACGATTACGGGTTATCAAGTGTCCGGTGTTGCTTACTTTATGGGTTGAAAACAGATAAAAATGCTAGAGGTCAGTTGGCTAAATATCTGTTATGGTGTACGTATGTAAAACAAAAGTTGTTCAAACGTAGATAACTGTATGTTATATGTCTAGATATTGGTTGAATTAAAATACTTATTTGTTCAGAAATCACCGTCTATGCCAGTATCTGGTAATGTACGTTTAGAACTTAACCATCAGAGGTACACGTGGCGTGGAGTATTAAAGGTAGATACTTGAAGTCTGACATCTGATGGTTATTAGAAGTTTAAAATTGTGAAAGAATGATATGTTTGTGTCCTGTGAGGGTTACTTAGGAACTCAAGGGTACAAAACATGAATGCAATGTCTAGAGGTCAATCGGTATATATTAAATAGGGAAACAATTGAAGAGTGATGGATAAATAGGTAAAATAATTTGTAGAAAATATGTTTGATTATTCGGCGATCCAAAATCTAAATATACAAATTATTTGTTAAAAGTTAAATGATTTTGAGTAGTATTTAAAAACTAACTATCCACATCCATATAATAATAAGTACCTAAACTGGAATTTACCCATACTTATATTTCATATTATTTTAATACTAAAATAGTAGTGATAAACTATATAATCGAGATTAAAAATATTAATAATATATTATATTATACATATATATTAGTAACATTATTCTATATTATTTATTATAATTTTGGGTTTATAGGCTTCTAAGTTTATGCTGCAATCATATAAAGTACCTAGGTTGTTTCAACAAAAACTTCTATAATCGACAGTTGAACTAATTTCAGTTGTATCTACAAATATGAAAAAATCGAAGATCCAACTGCCTACTTTTGTATACCACAGTCGATCTAATTGTTACGTTTTCACTAAAAATAACGTAAATTCGGTAGCTAGAACTACACACTTTTTGTGTACGACGGCTGACCGAGTTTGTAGGTTCATCGCTATAATAACATGCATTCGTTGAGTCCATCTATACACTTCATTCATACGACGGTCGATTCAATTTCTACATATTTTTCTAATCTAAAAGTGACAAAAGTTTGTTTGCTTAAATTTTTAAATTTTTTGCCATTTGAGTATTAATTATAAAAAATGTGTCAACATTTTTACATTTTTTGAACATCGGTAGAAACTATTTAATAAATGATGATGGCCGATTGTAAAAACAAATGTGAACACAAAGACACGGTTTGTTTAACAATAATTATGCATATTAATTTGTTTAATTAGCCCATAATGGTTTTTATACCAAGTTCATCTTTAATTTGTACAATAACCGGTTACATGATAGTTTTCGGTAACGTTTTATATATCTAATATTGACGGTTTTCCATTCAGGTAAACTGTAATGTTAGCAGGTTGAGTTACATATTTTTGAAAGTTGCTGAACATCGAGTATTAACTTTTTTTTATAGAAGAACATGAAATAGTTCTCAAAAAAAAAAAAAAAATACGCATAGCATAGTAATACACGTATCCTAATAGTTAAGGGGTCAAACTATGTGAAGTCAATAGTTTCTACGTTTTCGCTAAAATAATGTAAATTCGGTAGCAAGAGCTACGCACTTCTCGTATACGACGGCTGACCGAATTTGTACGTTTATCAGTAAAATAACGTTTTATTATGTATATTATGTGTTCTAATAGTTATCGGGTCAAACCACGTTAAAATCAATAATCTGAGATTCTTAATTTTGATATGCAACAATCGAGCAAGTCTCAACGTTTTCGCTAAAAATAACGTAAATTCGGTATCAAAAGCTACCTACGCAATTTTCTTATAAAACCGCCGATTCAATGTAAATGTTTATCGCTGAGAAATTTCTTGTCTATCAAAGGCCTAATAACAACGTCATGTTGAATCGTATAGGCAATCATTTGGTACGTTTGTTTGTGAAGCACCGTATCCGAGCTGTCGAATTGATAATCCTGTGTTGAAGGCGATAATTTGGCCAAAGGGAGCAACACATTTAACATATTACCTATCATATTTTGTACCGTTTGCCCTCTTGCGTCCGAAGTTCAGAATTATTTAGTTGTTAATAATACTTTGTCCGTAATAAAATACAAAATCGATTACCGCAAAACGGGCAGTTCCGTGTTATATATACGGTTAATTCCGTAGTCATACATTCAGTATAACTACAAATTACCAACAGTGCCATCTCGTTGCACGTGCAATTTATAACGCAATTTCGCAATCATGTACCGATTAATTTTTATGTTTCTCGCTGTAACCAGCGTTCGGTCCACACTAGTAACCGTAAACGTGGATACGTCGTCCGACAAAATTCAGTTCGATAAATGCTCCATCGTCTGCGGTCCCCTGTGTTCTGTTATATGTTCGCGTCTGCCAATAAGTCTACCTACAGCTCTCTGCAAAAGTGTTTGCAAGCCACTGTGCGAAAAATCGTGTCAGTCGGTAAGTGGTTAATTGCAACTGCAGTTATCAGACTATGCAGTTTCCGTTTCACCTGATTTACACAGCATGGTGAATTTATTCCTTGTTATTTTCACTTTTTTCTCAGGATCCGAAAATAGCAATTACGATAACGTACAATCATAACGACACTTATGTGGAAGTACGTGATTCGGATTTAGACTCGGGAAAATGGACCAAAGATGATTGTAAAAAGACATCGTCTCCGGATGGTTTGAAAATCACAAAAGATAATCCGGTGACCATTCGAGCGTGTGGCAAGGATCTGTCGACGAAGGGTGTCAAAGGTTATTTTTACCTGGCGCTCAATAACGAGGCGGAAAATGATTACAAGGTGACATTTAGCGTGCCGTCGATGATAACCGGTAAAACAATTTTTCATTTGGATCCCCTTAAAAACGATGGGCCTATAAGTTGTGAGCCAGACGAGCAAGGCTCAAGTTCGATTCCATCTTCTATCCGCTGTTTTAGAGTAATATGATAACGTGCAACACTACCGTTATCGCATTATATTTTCGGGCATTGTTGTAGTCTCAGTGAATATGTTTTGTAATAAAAATTGTATAATATATGCCATTAGTGTAGTGTTATTTTTTTGTAACAATAACAATTATAATTCCAAAGCTAAACATTTTTATTATTCAAAAACATTCTGTACTAGAAATACACTTTCTAAGTTCAAACTGTATGCAAATTGTTTTCAATGTCTAAATTTGAATCTTATGTTATTTGCGCATGTGCACCGTCTACGTATGAAATTTAAATTGGAACTCCTATACTTTTCGGGATATTCTGTTGAAGTTGAATATTTTGAAAACCAAAATGTTAAAAACCAGTTTTTATACTCAACAGCTGTTTAAAAGTTATAGCTATTGCAAGTTCAAATTAGTGCACTATTAAAAAGCATTTATAGGTATGTTAAAACAAATATTTTGTAGTTCAAACTGTATGCTAACTTTAAAACTCTTATTCCGGATTTAAAAAGAAAAAACGTTATTTAAGCCACATAAAAATCTTATAAATATTATTATAATATAGTGCTGTGTGATTTTGTATTTTATACCGGACAAAGTATTATAAACAACTAAATAATTTTGCACTTTAGACACAAGAGGGCAAACGGTAAAGTTTATTAGTAAGAGCAGCGTTTATTGCTACCCTGGCAAAATTCACATACAGATATGGTGTTTCACAAACAAACGTACCAAATGATTGCCTACACTATTCAACATGACGTTGTTATTAGGCCCGTGATAGACAAGAAATTTCTTAGCGATAAATATATACATTGAATCGGCGGTTTTATAAGAAAATTGTGTAGGTAGCTATTGATACCGAATTTACGTTATTTTTAGCGAAAACGTTAAAACTTGCTCGATTGTTGAGTACAAAATTAAAAATCTCAGATTATTGATTTTAACACAGTTTGACCCCATAACTTTTAGAATACGTATTATACATAATATAACTAAGCACTATTTGAAACTCGAGTGGCGAAAAATAAAAAAGTTTAAGTAAACAAATTTTTGTCATTTTAGATTAGAAAGTGTAGAAAATGAATCGCCGTCGTATACATAGCATATTATGTATAGATCGACTCACCCAATTCATGTTATTGTAGCGATAAACCTACAATTTAGGTTAACTTTTTAAATTGAGAATAATATACTAAAAATGTTGACTGGTCGATAACCAGGATCGGATAACTATTTTTGAAGTAATTGAAGTTTTAAGTATAGAGCAGCAGGAAATATGGAGTGTAGTATTATTTTTATCTGCGCGCATTTCCAACCGCACTTTCCCTCTCATCCTAACTTTAAAACTCTTATTCCGGATTTAAGAAAAAAACGCTATTTAAACCACATACAAGTCTTAAAAATATTATTATAATGTAAAGCTGTGTATCTAAATAAAATGTTTTGATGAAAATTTAAAGAAAAAATGCTTAATTTTGAGTATTAATTGCTACAAATCCTAAAGTTTTTATTTTACGTTTCACCAAAAATATTTTAATTAAGTACACAGCTATTTCAACCCTGTTGTCAACTCGAGAGCTCAGATATTATGGTGCTTCATAATCAAACGTACCAAATGATTGCCTATAGTGCTCGACATTTTATTATTTTTACATTAAAAATGTAGAAATTTATTCGATCGTCAAAAGAAGTGTGTAGGTCGACTCACCGAATTCATGTTCACATAGCAATAAACATAATGATTTGGTCAGCCGTGCTATACAAAAATTGTGTAGCTCTAGGCTACCGAATTACATTATTTTTAGCTAAAACTTTGAAATTAGATATGTCGTTCAAACCACCTAGATACTTTATGTTACTTCAGCGAGAACGTAGGAACTTGCCTGGATTATTGTTTATTTTGAGTACAATAATAACGATAGATACTACTAAATTTCAAACGAGGTAACCGGTTCGAAGAAGCAATTTTTTTTATAACAAAAGGTGTTCAAATTATTTTTGGGTTTCGTCACAAAAATATGAGAATCAAGCCAAAAAATGGTCGTATTTTGTTGAATTAAAATGTTTTTGTACAAACATTTAATTATGACGCCCCTTCTTCATAAAAACTTAATCATGTGTTTTGTTTAGCGTCGAGTGCTAAAATGTACGTATATAATACCGTAGATACAAATTTAATTATGAATCTACATACAATGGAAAATAAAACTATAAACATGTGACAGTAGGTATGACGTCATTTTCAGTAGTATTTTAATTAAAACCGTCTAATACGATAATTTAAATATTTCTATAAAATAACTTAAGCGATTACCGCAAATAACATACAAAATTTGCTTTGATGCAAATTCTCAACTATTACTATTTATTAGGAAGTATGTCGCAATATAAATATGTTGTTTATCTTTATCATAAAAATACTTAGTTAGTAAACAGGAAAATGGTAGACTGAACTGCACACATTTGTATACCACGGCCAATCAAATTTCTACGTTTTTGCTAAGAATAACATAAATTCAGTAGCTAGAGCTACTCACTTTTTGTACACAACGGCTGACTGAATTTATACGTTTATCGCTAAAATACATGAATTCAGTGATTCGATCTACACACTTGCTACACACACTGAAAAATTCGGTAGGCTGAACTGCACACATTTGGATACCACTGCCAATCTAATTTATACGATTTCGCTACCATAACCATAAATTCGGTAGATAGAGCTACACACTTTTTGTGTACGACGGCTGACTTTATATATTTATCGCTATAATACCATAAATTTGGTAAGTCGATCTATACACATTATGCATACGACGATCGAGTCAATTTCTACATTTTCTAATGTAAAAATAACAAAAAGTTGATTAGTCAAACATTTTTTTTTTCTGCCAATTTAGTTTCAATGTTGAAAAATCAGGCAAAATTGATACTTTTTTGTAATATCAGTAGAAACTATTTGAAGAATAATGATAGCCGTATTATGGTCACAAAGACAATTTTTGATTAGAAAATTATACCTTAACTATAACTAGAACACAAAATAATTAAGTATAATTATTATTCGTGCTCATAATGATATAAAAAAAGGTAATTTTTTATTTATACAATAATAAGCTGAATATTAATGCAATGAAGTTGCTATAATTTTTTTAATATTATTAATATCCTAATAGTAATGATGTACAACTATGGCCGATCTAATTTTTACGTTTTGCTAAAAATAACGTAAATTCAGTAGCTAGAGCTACACACTTTTTGTACACGACGGCTGACCGAATTTGTACGTTTATCGTTTATATTAACATGAATTCGGTGAGTCAATCTAGGTCAATCTGGTTGAGAATTTTCTTCATTTTTCAAAATAGAAATCACAATAAGTAGGTCACACATACTATCATTCTTTTTACTTTTTGCCCTCTTGTGTCCGAAGTTCAGAATTATTATACAAAGTGTAAAATAGATTATTGCGAAACGGGCCATTCTTTGGTATATATACGGTCGATTCAGTAGTCAAACATTGAGTTTAACTACAAATTACAAACAGTGCTGACCCGTTGCTTGTACATTTTCTAACACAATTCGCAATCATGTACCGATTAATTCTTGTGTTTCTCGCTGTAACCAGCGTTCGGTCCGCAATCATAACCTTGAACGTAAATACGCAATCCGGCGACAATCCGAATGTAATTTTGAATTCCGATCCAAATAATGTTATAATGTATGCAGAAAACCAAAAAGCGGCATTTACGATCAAGTACAACTACGCCGACAGTCATTTGGAAGTACGTGACTCGTTTTTAAGCTTTGGAAAATGGACCGATGGTAAATGTAATGAGTTAACGTCTCCAAATGGTTCGAAAATCTCAAAAGATAATCCGCTGACCGTTCGAGCGTGCGGCCGTGAACATTCGCCGTCGGGTGTCACTGGTTATTTATTCCTGAGGAAGCAAGGCGAGACGGAGAATGATTACAAGTTGACGTTTGATGTGCCGTGGGGAGCAGGTGCTAACAAGTTTGTGTTGACCGCCCTTAAAGATGAACCGACTGTATCTTGTGAGCTAGCCCCTGATAGTGGGTCAAGTATGGTTAATAAATCTATTCGCTGTTTTAGAGTTCTATAATGTGCGACATTACTGTAACCGCACTGTATTGGTGTAGTCTTGGTGAGTACTTTGTGTAATAAAAATTGTATTTTTTGGCAATAATGTATTCTTTAGTGAACACTTTTTGTAATAAAAATTGTATATTTGGATATTAGTGTAGTCTTATCGTACTGTAATAAAAATTATAATTTCAGAGCAAAATATAGATTGTTTTTTTTATTAACATTTCCATTAAATAAAATGTACTGCCTTAATTGTCGTGTGAAAATTTGTATGAAAAATCACTTATTGTATTATTTTCTGTTATACAACATACACACTGGGTATCCAGCGATCTGGGTTTTAACAAAAAAGTGCTATTTATGCCACCTAAACATATTATTAGGTACAATGAATAGCCATGTACTTAATTTAAACAATTTTAATGAAATGTAAAATAAAACTTAAATTTGAATTTGTAGCAGTTTATATTGAAACTAGACATTTTTTTAAAATTTACATCAGAACATTTTATATAGGTACACAGCTTTATGTTATAATAATATTTAATATGTATAAGATTTTTATGTGGCTTAAATAGCGTTTTTTGTCTTAAATCTGTTATTTTAATTTCCTATCACTGATGCACACAGACACACTGCGCACACTTTGCCTATGATAATACTGCCGGCCAAATAGTTTGATAACTCTTCCATTCAATTCCATTCAAAACCCTAGGCACGCAACTGGTTTGTAGTTTATTAACTGCAATGCAAATTAATTGAACAGATACTTTTTTTCTATGGTATTATGTATCTATCACAATTTTAAATTGGTGTTAAATTTTAGCAAAAAATTGCATATACAATGCGCCTTAATAAAGGTTACACCTCAAACAGCCACCGATATTACCTATTACCTCTTCTGAATTATAT